TATGTATGTATGTATGTATGTATGTATGTATGTATGTATGTATGTATAAATACACATGTGTAGGTGTTTTTCCTACATATATGCCTGTGCCCAGTACCTGAGGAGGCCAGAAGAGTGTTGGAGTCCCTGGAGCTGGAATTTAGATGGCTGTGAGCCGCCATATGGGTGCTGGGTACCAAACCTGGGTCCTAGAAAAGCAGACCGTGCTCTTAAGCACTGAGCCACCTTTCCAGTCCTTTTGAGGACAGAGGGCGGTAGGGTTATTCAGTCTTTTGGCAGCTGGGCTGCCTGCTTTTGGGAAGCTCCTTAAAGATCCAGCCCCTGAACAAACCTGTCAGTACTTCCTTCCCCTGTGAGGGTGACCTTAGCCTTGCTCTCCCAATAGCTGTGAAAACCTTCTTAACTGTAAGTTTTGACAAGGACAATAGCCAGAGTCCAGGGCAACAGACATCACAGTATGTCTTCTCAGTTTGTGTCTAAAGCCTGGCCTGCTCTGGCTGGTTGATGCTGTCCTGGCTAATGGTTCTTACTAGGCTGGAACGATGTAGTCTAAGAAGGTGGTGGCCCTAATGCCCTGTGCCATATAGTGGAAACATCATTGTTAGTGTCCATATAGTACTGTCAGTGACAAGTTGTGAACTCTGTACACTTTGTTCTCACTAGGTTCATTTCCTTGTTGCAATTCCTTTGGCAACTATTTCTTCTATGGGGTGTTTATACTCGTCGTTTGTTTTTGCCAGGAACTTTCAGGACCAGCATCAAATGGTGGGGTCAGCCACGCACACAGCTATGAAGCCCAGTATGAGAGGTAAGCCTCAGGACTTATCATGATGCGCTTTGTGTCAAGCCTAGGTTGTCACGGGCACGTGATATGTGGGCATGTGTGTGGCTGTGCTGAGCAGGAGCTGTTAAGAGGCAGCTCTCCTGCTGCTTCTCAGTGGTCAGCCATTACACCAGCTCTGGCCTGAGGGAGGGCCCCCAGGTGCTGGCTCACAGGTTAGGGCTGCTCCCGGCAAAGCATCAAGTAGATGTTTCCTGACTGGCTCAGTCTTCTGGGCATGTGTGACTGCAGGTCCGTCTGGACAAGGATATTCAGTGCTAAGATGGTGGGAAGAGCTGCAGAAATGGCTGGAAGCCCTTGAAGGGAAACGGCAGTCGTTTCTCCTTTTCCTGCAGGTCAAAACCTCAGCTTTGCTTTTAATCAGGCGAAGTTCCAGCCGTAGGTTAGCACTGGGTGATGCTGGGTCACATACACCCAGCACCTCCGCCTCCACAGGATGGATGGCGTCATGCACCAGGAGTGCTGTGTACAATGTGCACTCAGCATTCAGTAAGAAATGGAGCTGCTGCCAGTGCCTCCAGAAAGGACTGACTCGCTCCCATTTTCTACCCTAGGGCCATCCAGGAGAGCCTCCTAACCAACATGGGAGGCCTGTGCCCCGGGGCCCTCAGTGAGTCGAGCCGTTTCGATAGTGACCTGCAGCTGGCCATGGAGCTGTCTGCCAAAGAGCTGGCAGAACAGGAGCTAAGGCTCCAGGAGGAAGAGGCCGAACTCCAGCAAGTCTTACAGCTGTCACTCACAGAGAAATAGACATTACTGCCTAGAGCAGAGGCTCTGGGCTGCACAGAGTGCTGTGTCACTGAGACCCTGGGGCAAAGGCCTGCACTTCCTGAAGACAGCAGCTGCCCTTTCCTTATGTAGAGGTGCAGACCAGGGACTCCCCAGAGTGGAGAAGCAGGCACCAGCAGGCCCACCTCCATGCTGAGGGAGGAGAGCATCGTCACCTTCCATTAGCTGTCCTGGCTTGCAGGTCACATTTTTACTACCAGCTCTAGACAGAACCGCCAAGCCCTGCAGGCTAGTAGATGCATCGCCGTCAGAAGTGGCAGCAAGCGTCACTGCAGTTGGTGCTTTTCTACAGGAGAGCAGCAGCCTTTGTAGAGTGGGTAAGAACCTGAGACCTTCCTGTTCACCAAAGAAACGGGTTATGCTGACCTCTTTACTTTCCCCTCCCTGTAGGGTTCCTACGCCATTGCCATCACACCTCCTCATTGCCATCTTGTTCCATGCCTTTACCCCCGCTAAGAGGATATGTACAGGATCTATTTTAGATTATGGCTAACTATTTGCATCAAATTAAGATATACAAATGACCACGGATGTTGCCTTAGCCTTAAAAATTACTACTAGTTTTAAACCACCTCACTCCATACATTGAGGACCTGATTTGAATCCATAAAGGCAATTCCTTTGGGAGCATCCTCCAGGCTAAACCGAAGGCAGCTAAACCTGTCCTTGGAGGAGCAGCTAGGGGAAACCATGGCTGGTTCTCAAAGTAGGCAAGCTCACCAGACCACTGGACGAGCAGAGAGCCTAGCACCGTGTGCCTGCTCCCTTGAAGGCTTTCCAGCCTGGGGAGAGCCAGCTGCATGGCCTTAGGACAGGACACGCTTGAAACCAGAAAGGGAGCTAACATGGAGCAGAAGCTCTTCCTCCAAAAGAGAAGCGATGACTCCACATTGCTTTTTAGAGTTCAAATCGACATCTTTCTGGATAAATATATTTTTTAACAGAATCTTTTTATTATTTTTAAAAGATAGAGAACTGACTACTCCCATCAGTAGCAATACAAGGTTATACATTTTAACCAGACTTTCTCAGGCCTTTTTTGGATACCTTTAGTAGTTAACTATTTTGTCTAACCCTCCTGTAAATACCTACGCTTAACAGACCCACCCAAGGGGAGCACAGCCAAGGGTCCCTGACACCTCTCATCTGGCGTAGGCATTCACCCCCACAGGCTGTGCTAATCACGTGGTAAACAGTACCTTCCTCTGTTTCCCCGTTAGGCTTCTTTTGGGATAGGAAGATAATCCACTGTTCCCAGGAATGTCTGTTTGATACAGTCAGTGTTGCCAGTAAAATGTTCTTAGACACAATGAATTGTGATTTTAATTCCTCATAATCATCTACCTTTTTCTGTGATGGTCTGACCAAAAATTCCTTCCCTGCGCATAAAGCCAGTGTGGACATCACATCTGTTTCATACTCAGCTTCATGGTCTGTTTACTTGACGTTTGCCAGGAGCAAACACTTCTGGGAATGGCTGCAGTTGGGCCGAGCCTACTCAATAAGGGCAATCCTAGGTAGCCCCCGTGTCTGCGTCCATTGCTCTGTGATTGTCCCCAGAAGTCACTTAAAAAGGGACTGAGCACCGCATCAACCTGCTGCAGCTTTCCCCATGTGTTCTCTCTTAAAACGAAAATAAATACGCTTCCATAGAGGGTGCTCACAGTGCCCCGACAGCCTGAGTCCTGTCTCTTCCGCAGTGAGTCCTCCGGTGACTGGAGGAGCACACACTTCCTGTTTGTAGTGCCTGCCCTTTACAAAGTAGCAGGCCCCAGCCTTCCTGCCTGGGTGTGGTCAACACTGCTTTACACCCTGTGCCAGATGGAAATGGGAAGCATCCAGTTCTGGACCTCTTCACAGGCCTCCTAGAAGTGGCATGCTCCCTAGAAGAAGAGAAAGGGGGCCAACGTCAACACCACTGATGGAACAGACTCATTCCTTGACACCAGTGCTACAGGGCTATTTTTAAGGCATTCAGGTGAAAGTGGGGCCCTTAAAACAGGCAGTGGCCAGGTAACAATGTTAGGGTTCGAGAAGGGGGCTTTGGTGGTCTAGGAAGATGGGAAGAGCAGCTACACTTGGGGAGTAAGCAATCCTTGAGCCACAAGAGCATCATGAAGACCACCACCTTGAAAGGCGCACAGTGCAGTCTATGGTTTACTTAACAAGCAGCTCACCAAGGCTCCGGTGCCCCAGCTGAAAGTGAGTCCTGCCCCAAAGCACTGCTGGTGCTAAGTCTGTCCCAGTCTTACCACGATGCATAAAGTGAAGTGTGAAGGGAAAGCTGGCTTTGAATAGTGACGGGAACATGTCCACAGCAGCTTGGCCTCAGGCTCCTGATGATGATGACATCAAGAGAGATGAACTGAACTACTGAAATTTTAACTGCCCATGAGACAGTAGGTGATGGAGGTCAAGTGCTGCTTAGACCTAAGTGGAGAAATAGGTGTGGGTTTATGACTGAACTCCAGCCAGAAGCTACGTGACTAGTACTTCAGCGTCCTGAGACCTCAAGCAGCACCAGGAGATGAACTCAGTGTTAAGAGATACTTGTTTTACCTTTAATTCCAGCACTCGGGAGGAGAGGCAGGCGGATCTCCGTGAATCAGCCTGGTCTACAGAGTTAAGTTCCAGGACAGCCAGGGCTACACAGAGAAACTGTCTCAAAAAGCCAAAACCAAGAGAGAGAGAGATAGGTGTTCGCTAGCAGTGCCTGTATGGGTTAGTTAGCACGTGTTCACTGGCTGCACAGGTAATGTCTAGGGCAGGGTCTGGCTGAGGTGTACAGCCTGATGACCTTCCCTCCTTGTGCCCCTTAATAAAGCTATTTAATTCAAAGAGGAGCCATCTGTGTAGCCCTGGTTGGCCAGGGACTCTTCAGAGACACACTTCTGCCTTTGAAGTGCTGGGATTAAAGGTTCATACCACCAGACCTGGCAATTTCTATTTATTTGTTCTTAATCGTGGTATCCGAGGAGGGAGGGTGTGCACATGAGCCCTGGTACCCTCAAGGCAGGAGCCCCCTGGAACTGGAGTTACAGGTGGTTGTGAGCTGCCTGATGTGAGTGCTAGGAATCAAACTCCAATCCTCTGGAAGAGCCATCTCCCTCCAGCCCCACAGTTTCTATTTCTAACCATGTGGCTCTGATTTAATTCTTTGCTCGGGGACACAGAGCCTGGAAAACCTCAGCCAAGTACCCCTGGGACTCATATCCATGTCCAGAGCAGCCTGCGGGTGGTTACCAAGCAAAGTAGCAAGCATCATAGGCCTGGCAGGAGTTCAGCCTTTCGTTTTGAAGTCTTAAAATGGCAACAAGTATTATAGTGGCATGTCAAAACAGGCTGTTCATGAAATGGGGGGACAAGTCCTCCTGGGGCTCAACCTTGGCACCCACATTCCTCATCTGTCAGGGCAATAACCTGCAGCTTTTGGGAGGCCAGCTGTGGCCATGTCTCCTGATTTCAGTGTGTTCTATCACTGGGACTGGGACGTCAGGATGCCACCACTGCTGGTGCCAAGGAAACAGAGGTGCTGGAGACGTTAAGCTCCTTACAGTTGACCTTGGAACAAGAGTGCGGGCCTGCTCTGCCCCAGCCTGAGCGTCTGACTCTGGCTCAACTTTACTACTGCACATGCTTGCTTAAACTCCACTGCACAGGTCTCCTTAAACAAGTCAGGCCAGGCTCACGTGCACACCCCTGCGCTGAAGTTTTCTTGAAGGATTTTATGTAAATGCGCATTTGCCTCGGTGGGTGGGTGGGTGTCTGTGCACCACAGGTACACTTGGTGCCTGCCAGAGGTCAGAAGAGGGTATCAGAGCCTCTGGAACTAGTTACAGGTAGTTGTGAGCCACCACGTGGGTGCTGGGAACCAAACCTAGGCTCTCTACAAAAGCAACAAGTGCTCCTAACCCCTGCATTAAACACTCAGGAACACAATGAGGAGTAAAGCCACACACAGGATTCCTCTTGAATTTTCAGTGACATTTTAATGGCTCAGTGTTACAAGGTTACACACAAGACCCCAATAGTTACAGTGTTCATCAGTTAATTCACATCAGTGCAGGTTATTAAATTAAAACAAAACAAGGCCAGTCCTATGAGGGAAACACATTAAACGCTACAGCCTTATAACAAAATTAAATCTAGCAGCTTTAAAATAAATAGTAATAGCCACTCTAACAGTGGCAAGAATCAGCAGGGCAATCTGGTTCAGTAGCAGCACTTGAAAGCTCGTAAGCACAGCAGCCTGCACACGCGGTTGAACCCTCTACACCCGGGGAGAAAAGGAGATTGAAGGCTCGGGTTCCCATCCGAGAGACTATTGCCAGCTTTAGGCCATGGGTGAGAGGGACATGAATATGTCAGGTCAGGCAGAACTGCTCTTCCAAAAGACAAGTGCAGCCCAGAGCCTCCCAGGCCGGGGGCACGTGACCACAGACCTAGGATGCAACTTTGGCTCAGAGCCGATGCAGCAGGAAATGATGGCAAAACTCCCCCACTGTCAGCACTAACGTGACAACCAGGGTATCCTAGGGCAACTCAGTAGAGCAAAAGTGTGCTGTTGGCTTTTTTAATTTACTTATTCCTGGGTGGAGGTCAGAAAACAACCCACAGGTGTCGGCTCTCTCCTTCCACCAGGTGAGTTCCAGGAACCAAATCAGGCTTGTTGGCAAGTGCCTGAATGCCGGGCTGTCGGCCCCACGTGCGGTCGATATACTGACAGTACAGTTGAGAGCAGGGAGGTGGGCATGTTGCATCTTCCTTTGACTATTTCAAGCATTAGTGATTAGCGGTTCTTCTGAACACGTCTTCACAGGGAACCCTGGAGCTTCAGGCTTTACTTTTAATCAGTACAGCCAAACAAAAAGAAACAAAAAAATCAAGCAGCCGACTCAGTAGCCAATAACTGATGTTAGAGGAACAATTACTACTAGATGCTCTTCTAAACCCTGTAGCATTGACCACCTGCCCAGATCAAAGATCACTTCCTAGAAGTTCTGATTCCACCTCCTCCATTGGCCCTCGTGCAACCCAACTTATCCTGTCCCAGAGACTTGCAGCAGGACGCTCCTGTATGGCTGTCACCGACGGCGAATGGGCTTGTAGACACAGAATGCCATGAGGATGACGGTCACCAGCAGGATGCTAAAAATGGTTCCCATCAACACTGCAAAGAGAAAACAGCTTACCTCGTGGAGGCTCCGGGTTCCATAGTTTATTCGTTAAGAGACAGTGCTTTCCCAATGGCTACTTGCATTAAGGGTACTTCCTGCACTACGTGCCGGGAACCAGCCATACCCAGGCACCTACTCAAGTCACCCCACAGATACAGGAAAGTAAATGGGAGCGTTTTTCACAGAGCCCAAGTCCCCAGAAGAACTTGCAATGTGGCATGAGAGGGTGGACAGCGGCAGGTAGGAGTGGGAAGAGGTACCCCTGAGGTAATGTACACGCCGAACTCCTTGTGAGAGACACATCAGGAGGGCAGGGCAATACCAGGGGTCAGCACAGGAAGGACCTTGAGGCCAGAACAAGCCCAGTACGTGCAGCGAGGAGACAAGCAACCCGGAGAGCATGCTGAGAAGCAGGAGGCAAACAGTAACGCCCAAGTGTGCAGGGCCTTTCAGACAGCCAGGGAATGTGGACAGGCTGCTCACTAGCTTGTCTGTGTGTTATGTATGTGTATGGCGCAGGCATGCAGGAGCACAAGCGTATCCTCCTGTACACGTGTATGCACGGGTCTCTTCCTCTACTGCTCCATAACATTTCCGGCTGGGCTGGCTGAGCAGCATGTTCTTTGTCCTGGGCAGCTTTTTATGTGGGTGCTAGGGACTTACACAGGTCCGCAGGCTTGCAGACCAAGCAGTCTTACTGAGGCTTCTTCCAGGCCCAGGCCTCAATAAATATCAACAAAGGCCTTTGGAAGTCTGTAGGCCACACTGATCTGATTAGTTGGGGAAACATCCTTTAGCTTGTGTTCCGAGAAGCACCTCGTTATGGGAGACAACAGAACCAGGAAGCCCAGCTTCACCTTTAAAGCCTGAAGATCTGATAAACAAGCTGGTTCAGGCGTGAGATGAACGCTAGACATGGGCCTTCTCACCAAGGCAGCAGTAACTTAACAGACCCGCTTTGAAACAAACAAACAAACAAAACACAGGGGTCAGACTGATCAAACTCAGATCACTGAGCTTAGTAGCAAGTGCCATTACCCGCTGTGCCATCTTGTAGGCCCAACTAACTACGTGTGTGAGAGAGAGCTAAACATTTATGTGTCCTGTAAGTGTGTGTGCAGGTACCTGCAGAGACCGGAAGAGGGCATCAGGCCCACGGAACTAGAATTGCTGGAAATTATGAGCCACCAGAGTGGGTGCTGGGAACGAAACTCAGGACCTCTGATAGAGCAGGAAGTGCTCTTAACCTTTGAGCCACCTCTCCAGGCCCCAGATGTGTTTTGTTTTTTAAACTTATTTTATGTGTGTACGTTTTGCCTGCTTGTATGTCTTTGTACCACATGGGTGCCTGGTGCCTTTTGAGGCCTCAAGGTGGGGGTGGTCAGATTCTCTGGGACTAGAGTTACAAAAGTTTAAGTTGGTATGTGGGTGCTGGGAATCAAACCCAGGTAGGTGCTCCAAACAAGCGTCTGGTGCTCCTAACTGCGGAGCTGTCTCTCCAGACCCAAACTGTGTTCTTAAGAGTAAAATTCATGCCTAAAATATTCAAGTGGGGCCTACAAGTGATTACTGAGCCTGAGGCTTCAAGGGCCTGGGCTTTAAACTACAAACATAACCAGCCAGTTGCTCTGCTCAGCAGCGGCAAAACACCCTGTCCTCTAATAAGCAAAGGCACATTTCTAAAAGCTCAGCGCCAGCTGTGCCAGCCAGCGCCTGGCTTGACATGACTGTTCTGAGTCCTCCTCTGAAAGACTAACCTGACTCCTTTCCAGCTGGGACCTGCAGAGCCTGTGCCTACCCACTCTCTACCCCATCACACCCTCATGGCCTACTGTACACAAAAATCAACCTTTCTTGGTGAGTGAGGAGGAAAAGAGACAGAAGAAAATGAGGAAGAGGGCAAGCCACAGCTTCAGAAGGCCAGGTGTAATGGTAAGATCTCTATGGGTGCTGGGACCCGAGCTCATCCCTCTACGAGTACAGCCAGGACTGACTCCTGAACAGCTCTCCAGCCTGGTTTCTGTTTTAAAAAGCAGAGTTCCCTGCCACTTTCAGAAGCTGTCTTGAAGATTTTAATTCTTTAAAGCCTCTTCCAAAATGTACGGAAATAGTTTAAGTGAAGCATGAGGCTCTTAACTCCAGTTGTAATCATAGCTTCAGAAGGTTGGAAACTCAAGATTTTTGTCAGCTTGGCCAGGTGTTTGGTTGGCCCTGCTGTTTGTAGATAAGGCATTTAGCTCAGGTAAGACCAAGACTGTGTTTAACAACGCCGGAGCACCCATACTGCAGCAACTCCAAGGCATCCAACACCCACCACTGGCCCCACTGGACAGACAAACAGTCACGGCCACACATGGCCACACACATGCGCGCACAACTTAAAGTCTAAAAGGAAAAAACTCAAAACCCTGCGTTAGGCACACCGTATCATTTGGATTAACACCCACTAGGCGCCCGATCAGCCTCTCTGTCCTTCATCCCTGCACCTCCCTCCCTTGCACAGCACGCCAGTAACTGGACTGATGTTCCACAAAGAACCTTAAGAGACAATTTTACTCCCTCCTGGGGCCACTTCCCACCGTGTTCTGCATCCATGAAGTGGGACAAATGAAAACCCCATTAAAAGGATTCCTTTAAGCTTAACTGTAGATTACCTTCAAAAAGTGTTCGGGTGCGGGGCGTGCAGGTGACCACATGACAAATGAACACCTCAGTTACGATCAAAACGGGCAATACTCAGGATGGCAGGTGTGACTGCATCAGAGGTAAAGGAGAGGAGGCCTCAAAGGTCCTACTGCGCTCAGGTGAGTGCCTGTCGTCATCGTGTCCCACCTGCCCGCCCCAATCTAAAAAAGAATCACTTCGTACTGCTGACGATCCCAGCTCTAAAGGGTGAGGCTGGAAACCTGCTCCAACTTGGTGGAATACCAAATAGGTTCAGTTAGTGGTTAAAATACGGGAGAAAACAAGCCGGTTGAAAGGCAACCCAGAGCGATACCAGCTGCTCACTGACTTCGCAGATACAGAGTTGAACTAATGAGGACGGAAGGGAGGGCTGAAACGAAACAGGCAGATTCCCTCTGAAGTTTGCCCAGCTAAGCACCGGAGCTCCTTTCAAGGGCATGCATTGTATTTAACAGCTTCTCCCCAAAGTTGATTCAAGCCCCCACAAATCTCAAGTACTGGTCACTTCCTACCCGAGTATCCCTGAGTAACATGACTTTACCTCCGGGCTTCACTTTCCTTTTCTGTAGAACAGGGTGGAAAGCCCTACTTTTCTCATTAGCCTACTCCAGTGAGGCCCAAAGGAATACATGTAAACAGCGCTGGGCACAACACCTGGGATGTAGGAAATGCTGAAACTTGTCAATTACAAACGCCGTCGCTGAGAACCGGCCTGTTTAAGAGGAAGAGGGATATCAAGAAATTTAAAAGAATAATAAATGATTACTTTTTATTCAAAAAAAAAGAGGGGAGTGAGGATTGAAGAAATAAAGTAAGACACAAGGGATAATTGAGATGACTGTCAGTAAAAATTGCAGCAGCCTTGAGTTTATTCCACAGCTCCATTTTATAGGCAAAGCAAAACAAGACACATCAATTACAAGGAAGGGGTTCATATAGTCATCAAACTTGTTTTCTTAGATCACTTCTCTATATAGAAGAAATGGTCCACAAACAAGATCACACAAACAAGATCACACAAACAAGTTAAAGGAGCATGGTAAAACATCCTGTTTATCTTTGTCTCAAGGTAAAGGCCAGGGAAAAAACATGTTTTTGACTGAAGACTCTATAATAAAGCAGCTTGGGAAACAAGCAGCTCTTCACAACCTGTCCAGCTCTTTCTCAGAGGAGAAAGTGAGACTATCACAGTGATGTGGTGCCAGAGGATGTAAATAGAAAGAAAGGCAGGGCAGAAGATTGTAATGGTCCAAAACACTGTTGAAAGAAATCTTGGTGGCCAGAAACTCATGACTGAGAGGATTTTTTTCTTTTAGATATAAAATTACATCTTTATTGTAAATCAATCCCTTAATGATATAAATGGAGTTTTTATTCCAACTATGAATACTGAATAATATTTGGAACAAAGAATCAACATCAATTATATTTTTGTTTTAATAACAGAAAAATAAATAATTTTTATGTCAGTTAGAGTTTGATAATGCTATTTTTTTTTCTTTTTTCAATTTTAATTTTTATTTATTCATTTTACATCCTGGTCGTAGCCCCTCTCTCCTCTCCTACTGGTCCCACCTTCTCTCCCTGTTTCCCCTGTTGCCCAGCCTTATTACAAAGAGAAGAGGAGACCTCAACCCCCCCATCACCAGCCACCCAAGCATATCAAGTCACATCTGGACTGAGCACACTCTCGTCCCTATTTAATTATTTTATTAATTACAGTGTATTCACTTTGTATCCCAGGTCTAGCCTCCCCCTCTTCTCCTCCCATGCTCCTCCCCCAGTCCAGTCCACTCCCCTCTTACATACAATTTGACTTGGCTGATAGGCTCAGGCAACAGGTGTTCTATGAGATTCCCATTCCTATTTTCGAGGAGTGCAATCTCACCAGCCATACATGATGCAGACCTGTGCTAATTAAATTTTAGATTCATTTGGTTCTTATATATATGGATAGAATGAACCTCCAAACTCCCCAAAATATTGATAAATTATAGATAAATCACATAGAAATGTATACATCCTTATACAATAGAATGCATGTCATATTTAATCTGTTGTTACAACCCTAAAGGGTTTTAACCAATGGATTGTGAGAGGGCTAGAAAATACCATCAACTACTATGTACTGTAATGGACAGGTTCTGTATCTTTTTCTGTATATTGTGTGGATGTGCATACTATTACTAAACTCCATCACACTGACTATTCAAAAAACTGCAATATTTGCAGACTTACATAAATATTTTGCCTTTCACTTTTGAGTCATAGTTTCACTATGTTGTTCAGGCTGGCCTACAAATCCTGGTTTAACTTTCTTGATTCCTTAAGTAAAATGCTTTACTAAGCCTCCTTCTATTTATACACACACACACACACACACACACACACACACACACACACACACATATATATATATATACATTTTAATTAACATCTAACTACATCACTACCCCCTGCTTCTCTTTCTTCTTCCAACCACTCCCATGCCCCCTTCTCAAACTGATGGCTTCTCTTTCTTCGACTGGTTTGGGGAGTTAAAGGAATTAGTAGAATTCATATGCAGGCAATAAGTGCACAGAACTTTAATGTTAGTGAGCTTCATTAAAGTAGTATATAGGGTCAAATAAGGTAAATCCAAATCTTAGTTATATATTTGGACAGTGAATTTAAGAGCAAACAGTTAAGATGACAATGTTTATATTAAGCATTATGACAATAGACACCAATATGATAATTAAGCTGGAGTCTTATAAGAGTCATTTAGTAATTTTGTGATTTGTGCAAGGTTTATTCCTTCAAAAACTCCTTCTGTGAAGGTCAGAAGTTGTTCAAATTTAGGTAAAAATAAAACAAAAATTTAAGCCATAAAAAAAAAAAAAAAAAAGAGGAAGAGGGATGCAGGATGAGCCCTGCTGCCTAGCCCGAATCCACCGAGCAAGACCCAACTTCCCGCTTCCAGTCCAGCAGGTGCCGCCAGCATACAGGGATCATGCACTGGCTCCCAAGCCTGGGGCTGACAGCAGGAAAAGCAGGTCCGCGAGGACCAGCGGGTCAGAGCAGCTCCCGCGCCCCAGACAAGCTCCCCCACCCGATCCCCGAGCCCGGGATAGGGGCCCCGCGCCCGGGTCTGGCTGCAAACGCGCGACCGCCCCGCTTACCGAGGTTCTGCCCACGCAGCACCGCGTAGGGCCGGCTCCGCTCCGGCGGCACCCCGGGGCTCGGGGCCTCGGCCTGGCCAAGCAGGAGACCGCAGAGCACAGCACACAGCCGCAGCCACCCCGCACGCAGCATCTCTGCAGCCTGCAGCACAGGGACCGTGCAGACGCCGCTTCCGCCCCAAGCCCCGCCCCCAGACACACTCTTTCCGCGGCCGGCCCACTCCGCTCCCGTGGTTGCCATGGAAACTAGACGGCGCGGAGGCGGAGCTGGGGACGCGACACCGTTCTGCCAAAGAGGACTGGTCCGGAGCTTAATACTCCACCCCGGCCCATTTACGCGGGGACCAACATTCTGCCCTTAACACCAACCTTTCTTCTCTGTGGAAGGTTTTGCTTTACAAATCCATCCATGTTCGTTTTAAAATCATCACTATAGTCCGGAGAAACAGAAACCGTATTCCCATTTTAAACACACCCTCTCAAGGAGCCGTATCCGGAACATGTTTTCTAAAATTGAAGCCTTTCCCTCTCTCAAAATAAGCCCACCCTACCCAGCGTCCCGCTTAATATTACCACATTAAGCCTATCACGATTTGACGAATTTAACGCTTATTTTCCTATTAAAAAAAAAGAGAGAGAGAGAGAGAGAGAGAGATAGAAGCAAGAAAGAAGCAAGAATGGAGGGAGGGGATAGCTCGGAGGTTAAGAGCACTGGCTGTTGGTTCTGAGTTTAATTCCAGCAACTACATGGTGGCTCACAACCATCTATAGTGAGATCTGGTGCCCTCTTCTGATGTGCAGACACACATGCAGGCACAATACCATATAAATAATAAATCTTTAAAAAGAGGAGAAGGGAGTGTCAGTTGGGCAATGGTGGCGCGTGCCTTAAATTCCAGCACGCAGAGGCAGGTGGATCTCCACGAGTTCAAGGCCAGCCTGGTCTACAGAGCAAGTTCCAGGGCAGCCAGAGCTACACTGTATATATAGAAAAACAAAAAAAAGCAACCTCAGGGGGGAAAAATACCATCTACCCCAGCATGTAAATTCCCACAAAGATATTGATTTTAGTTTTGCTTACTGTTCTGTCCAGAGACAAGAAGTATAGTATATTATGTTGAACTAATGTTTTCACTGAATGAATGAGGAAACTAAACTTAGTTAAGAACTGGGGCCGGATGTGAGACAGATGAGAACCTGTGCTCCCTCCCCGAATTTTCTCTTTCCCTCCTCTCTTCTTCCCTCTCTTCCCCAATTCCAGCGTCAGATAGTGCAACCTCAGCTACCACTATTCACAACATTATGTCAATTTCCCTGCAGGGATTTCCACCAGCCTAGCAGGGGAACTGTTGTCACCAGTACAAAAGAGAAAGTGCCAAGATGGCTGTGAACACAATTTTCACAAAAGGTCTGCTGTGATTGGTACAAACCCTGAAATGATGATGCGCAACATTTTATGTGAAAGGTTTATTGGATGGAGATGAAGAGAGAGAGAGGAGGAGACAGACATGGTAGGAGGAGAGGTGGGGGCGCCTGGACAGAGAAAGGGGAGAGCAAGAGAGGAACAAAGTGGCAGGGTGGTCCTTGAACCACGCCTACAAGTTGTGACTACCAGGTAGCAGTCACAGGCAGGCGACACATGGTGACACCATAGGTTGCTAGGCAACCCAGAAGCAGGCTGCCTAAATACTAACAAACTCCCCCTTTCCTGGCCGGATAAGCAAGCTATTTGGCTCACTGGGAGACACTTCCTCTGCACTGCCTTCTTTGGTGTCCCAGGCAGACTTGTAAGGCATTTCCTCAACTAGCGATTGATGGGGAAGGGTCCAGCCCATCCTGAGTGCTGCCATCCTTGGGCTAGTGATCCTACTTTCTACAAGTAAGCAGGCTGAGCAGCACCCTCGGTGGCCTCTATATCAGCCGTGCTTGAGTTCCTTCAATAATGAACAGTGATATGGAAGTGTCAGCCAAATAAACTATTTCCTCCCCAAGTTGCTTTGGTCAGTGTTTCATCAGAGCACTAGTAACATCTATCTGTAAGTTCCTAACATAGTGGATTTACAACTAAATATAACCACCAAATGTCCAAGGCTCTAGACTATTTGTTTTTTGAGATTGCTTCCATTGTCCTTTCCCTTCAGCGGAAGCAGAAAATAAACATCTGTATTCTCAGCCCATCCTCCCTTTCACATAATTTACCTCACTGTATTATTCCTCCAGTCACCATGCTGACACGAAACAGTCTTTTATTAGACAACTTTTCTTGAGAATTTGAGATTACTTTTTTTTTTTTTTTTAAGATTTATCCATTTTACACATGAATGCTCTATCTCCACATACATCTGTGTACCAGAAGAGGGCATCAGATCCCAGTATAGATGGTTGAGCCACCATGTGATTGCCGGGAATTGAACTCAGGACCTCTGGAAGAATAGACACTGCTCTGAGCCACTGAGCCATCTCTCTGAGATTTCATTCACATATCTGAGAGCATTTTGTTCTGTGTAACTGGACTGAAAATTCTATCAGGGTTTCAGGACACCAAGTTAAAATTTAATTTCAGATAACTGATATTTAATATATATATTCCTAATAGTAGGGAGCTCAAATATGCACAATGCACAGATATATGTGTGAAAATGTCATAGAGAAACCCATATTTTTTAAAAAGATTTTTTGAGATTTTCAATTTTTTAATTTTATCTAACAGGGTTTTTTTCTGTGTAGCCTTTGTCTGTTGGAGCCCACTCTGTAGACCAGGCTGGCTCAGAATAGATCTTGCCTCTACCTCTCTGGGATTAAAGGCGTTCACCACCAACCGGCTTTCTTTCATTTTATGTACATGGGCATTTTGCATGTTTGTGTGCCTGTGTACCGAAACCTGCAGTGCTCACAGAGGCCAAAAAGGGGCACTGGATCCTCTGGAACTGGAGTTACAGATGGTTGCTGGCCACTGTGGAGATGCTGGGAACTGAACCTGGGTCCTCTGGAAGAGCAGCCAGTGCTCTTAGCCACTGAGCCAACTCTCCAGCTCCCTTATTTTTTCATAAGTGTGTGTGAATGAATGTGATAGTATTGTAGAAAATATAAATTTCTTATGTTTATTATTAATAGCCTAATAATTATTACGGCAGTTATTAACCCACTATCAATCAGTGAAAGACACAGGCACCTATTATATTTAAATGAACCTTGTTTCCCCTGGGGCTGGGCAGATATTACTCCCTAATCTAGCTTGTTAGCTCTCGGCCCCACCTCCCAGGCTGTTTGCTTTGATTACTCCTATCTGGGCTACTTCTCCTCCAGTATCCACATAAAATACTTGCACAAGCTTTCCTCCTGGGCTGCTTGTTCCTCTCCAAGCCGATCTTCAGAGCTCCCTCCTCCCGGCACACACGGCTCTTTACCTCTCCCATGGCGGCTCTGCTTCCTTCTTCTCCTCTCCCTGTCTCTCCATGAATTTCGGCCATGGCCACACACCTAGACACTTCTGCCCTGTCTAGGTATGTGGGCATTTATTCAGCCAATCAGGGATAATTTGCAAAGATTACAAATGTCATCTTGGGATACGTGAGCGTCTGCAGACCTCAGGGGGCAAAATAACAAGCAAATACAAAACACCAGACTGTGCTGTTACAACAGAGGTGCAGTGCCTGTGGAGGCCGCTAGAGAACGCTGTGTCTCCCGTCGGAGCTGCTGTGATTGTGATATATCTTCTGGGATCTCTCCCTAGCCCCCAAACCCACTGTCCTTTATACCAACTAAAATTTTTAAAAGTACATCACGAATATCTCATGGAAATCACTCTTATCTATTTGATATTCAAATGTACAATGACATGGACTCTGTTCTCCTTTGAGTTATAGTTGGCCGGATGGAAAGCACTCCTGTCTTCCTACCCATGGGATTCCTGTGTCCTTGCTCCTGGAGCACACATACTATCCAGCGGCCAATAAGCATTTTCCATCCTTTGGCTGCAATGGCAGGTTCAGGACCTAGTGTGTTCGACTAGTGTGTTAGGTTCAGGACCTAGCTGAGTTAGACCAATGAGTTATAGGTAGGCCTCTATCTAAACAACCTTGCCCTGGAACTCACTATGTAGACCAGGCTGATCTCAGATTCATAGAGATCTGCCTGCCTCTGCCTCCGGAGTCCTGGGGTTAAAGGTGTGCACCACTGTGCCCAGCCTATGCAATCATTTTTAAGGCTTAGTTTATTTTGCGTACATGAGTGTTTCGCTTACATGTTCTGCTTACACACTGCATGGGTGCCTGGTGCTGGCGATGGCTAGAAAAAGGTATTTGTTCCTCTAGAGCTGGAATTACAGATAACTGTGAGCCTCCATGAAGGTGCTGGGAACTGAAGCCTGATCCTCTGGAAGAGCAATTAATGTTCTTAAGCATTGAGCCACCTCTCAGCCCCTTTTGTACAATATTGAAATTAGCTGATAATCTCACTTTTGTTATGACGGTGACAATCCATAGTGTAAAATTAATCACTTTAGTTACTTTTAAATACAATTCAGCGGTATTAGGTGCATCAATATGGCCCATTTCCAGAACTCATTCACCACGGCAAACAAACTCATCTGCATTGGCCGGTAACTCCGCTATCTGCCCAGTCCATGTCTTCTAGTGGCCCGTTTTACTTTGGACGCTGCATAGTTATCTACATCCCTATAATGGGTCACTATTGTAGAAATGGTATGTACACTGCCCTATTTGTTACCCTTAGATAACTATTTCGTGGTTTGTAACCATCTTTTAAAACTACCAGAACACGGCCAGGCGGTGGTGGCGCACTCCTTTGATCCCAGCCCTTGGGAGGCAGAGGCAGGCGGGTGTCTGTGAGTTCAAGGCCAGCCTGGTCTACAGAGAGTTCCAGGCTGGTTCTGAGAACCCTTGTTTTGAGAAAAACATAGCAAAACACCTCCCACCACCAAAAAAACAAGGAATCCAGTCACGAAACTTTCCGTGGCCACTGACCACCAAAGAACAGATCTCAGTGTTAGCACAAACGATGAACCCATTCCTCAGTTTAAAGGTCCGCACACTATTTGCCTGACATGAGCAGGGTTTCCTTGGCAAACTCCCAAAGCAAATGATTCCCAGAGCGGGGAATCCCGGGAGCTGCGGGAGGCTTCGGAATCCCTGACGACTCCTGGAGACTCCTACA